TCATTCTGCTTTGTTTACTGCAGTCCTTCACCTTCAACAAGACATGTGGGAAGGATTTATCTAGGACTATCTCTTCCCCCTCCCACCTTTTTTTTCTTTTTGGCCAGGGCTACAGAATTGAGAAAGGTCCTTTTATTTCTTGAATAATGCATGTGGTTGTGTTTAAATCCAAAAACTAGACTGTATGATGCAGCATGCTCGTAAAGGAAGACTTCGGTATTAAGCTTACTAGTTCCTGTCTTTCCAGTGCTGGATTGTAACCTTATTCTCTCAGTGTATTCTACTTTCGTGCCCTGTATTGGTGCTCCTTTAAAACTTGAGTCTTGGACTCCGTTCCAGCTTTTTTAGAGGACTATTTTGTTGAGATCACTGCCCCTTCTATCTTCTGCCATTCAGTCCAGTCTTTTCTTTCCTTCTCTCCCCTCGTGGATCCTGCCACTTTCTTTTCTGGTTGGCCAGTATCTTAGGGCCCTGATGGCCCTTTCAGGCTTGTTGTCACAGCAGTTGAAGATCCTCATCTGACTTCAGTCATTGCTTACTCGCTTTTAAACACCCTGTGTTTTTTCTCCTTGTCCTATGTCTGGTGTACTTTCCTCCTCCAAGTCTTACACCAGTTTAACAGATTTTTATATCCCCATTGGAGTCCCAGATGCCTTTTGGATCTGGTAACTTTTTTGTACCTTACTGCTAGTAGCTTTGGGACAGAAACTGAGATGGATCCGCTGTTGCTATGTGATTTGTGATATCCGGTTCTGTCTTCCACATTCAAGTCAATCTGCTCTCTTTCCAATGCAGTTTAGAAGCTAGCAGGTGGTATGTCAAAACAAAGAAAAGCAGCAGTCCTCCACTCTTGTATGTTAGGGTCCATCAGGAGTGTCCTAAGAGCCTCTAAAGATTGCGGTATTAATTAGATAACATTTTTAGATTAAATGCCTTTTTAGTCTGGATCATACTCAATGCAAATAGGACCTTCAGAGAACTTTGATTCAATGCTGAATTATCTGTGAAATGGGTGACAGTCCCCTAAGCTGTCAGTTAGCCCTGGCTAATTTTGATGAGTCTTTTTCCCCTTGGGACAGATGTTAAAAAAAAACAAAAAAAACAACAAAAATCCAGCCAAATTTTATTTACCTTAGCCAAGAATGGAAGTGCAGAATTTATTTTCTCAACCAAACTGTTCCAAGAACATATCTTTCATCTGGAGTTCTTGGAGTTTGAATTTTAACATTTTCTGTCTGAGTCTATTCTTGGAAACATATGCACTGTTTTCGCTTAGAAGCTCCTCTGGATATTCTAATAATAGTCATTTGGCTGTTAAAGAATGCAAAAAATTTGCACTCGAAATCTAAGGTAAGAAATCCTACTTATATTGTTTTAATTTCTCGTATCATTCAGCAAATTATTTTGATGTCTTTAAAGTGTGAAGGCAAAACTGCTTAGAGATAATGAATACTATATTCAAAATACTAACTATTCTGCATTTTACTTGTGTTAGCAAAAACTCGTGCTGCTGACTTACTGGTGAATCCACTGGACCCAAGAAACGCAGATAAAATCAGAGTTAAAATTGCTGACCTGGGGAATGCCTGCTGGGTGGTAAGTATAGCTACATCATTTTAGCTATTTAGCCTTCAGTAATTAAAAGGGGCCTTTTTATTGTTCATGTTTTCCATTAATGTGGTTCTTTCTGTTTTAGCATAAACACTTCACAGAAGACATCCAGACAAGACAATATAGATCCATAGAGGTTTTAATAGGAGCAGGTTACAGTACACCTGCTGATATCTGGAGTACAGCATGTATGGTAAGAACAATACAATGTGTATTTTACGAGAACAAACCTCCTAAAAACAGTTGTTTATGCAGTGAGGAAACCCGATGAGGATGTTTCTGACATTTTGACGCAAATACAGTATTATAAATTATATCTATCAGGTGGCTGGTGATCATTTTTCCCCTTTCTTTCAATTTTCTAAGCATGCTTAATCGAAAGAAGGTATTTTGGAGAACATTTTTAATTTTCATTTGGTGCATTTTAAATTTGCAGTCAAAAATACACAAGTTTGGAGGGAAATACATATATATTTTAAATGTCAAAGTCTAACTGCAATAGTACAACTGCATGTTTCTTTCCCATCTTAGAATCTATTCAGCTGGTCACTGTGTTTCCTTTCCTTTTGCTTGCATAAAGCAGCAAAATAGTGGAATACTTCAAATTCTTGCCGCGTGCAGTGAAAACATTGGATTAGGCTTGCAAATCACAGCTTTAGATTCTAAACTTTGAAGAGAAGGAATTTAAGTTTATTAGTAAAATATGTGGTAACATTCCGTAGAATTAGTTTTAACACAGTAAAACTGAAATTGTTTTTAGAAATCTTTGAAGAGTAGAAAAGGTAAAAACTTAATCATTCAGCTTTCTGAAACACTGTTAGTAGTATCTCTTTGAGGGCAAATAAGCTACATGCATCTTCTCATTAAAGATCATTTTGCAAATACATTTAGAAATATCTTTGGCTCTTTTAAAAGTGAAAACTTATTCGGATCTTTATATTTTACAAATACATGTCTGAAAAGAGTAAGTTTGTGGGGAGGAGGAGAAGACTCAACTACTAGACACAGTTTGCAGGCGTGGGTGATGAGAAGAATTGCAGAGCTCAGGGGGGGAGGAGGAGGATTGAAAGGAACATAAAATCCTACAGATATTATAAGCTCAGCAAGCCATGTGTTGGAAGTAACTAACCCATAAGTAAAATTGCACGTATGTGTTCTCTGGAGTTTAATACTAGCTTTTGCTTTGGTACACAGAAAAGAACATTAGTTTCCAAATTTAGTCTTCCATTTGGGGGCAAAATGTAGCTTTTATCTGTTACATTGAAAGCGAAACATAGAAAATATTCCACTTTTGATCCTTAATTCTTTGAATTATTCTTCTCTTAGCTAACTGCAAAATTACTGTAGAGACTTTTCATTCCTTTTACCTGATATTTTGTAAACCTCAGTTGAACTTGATACCTTTTTATGGTATTGAATACCCTATATTCATCTTCCTCTAAGGTTGTACCTACCCCCTTCTAATTTTATATACAGTCTTGTCACTAAAGCCACATAAAAAATGCTGTAATCTAACTAGGACTGTGTTTAAAGAAAGTGGGGTACTTAGTAGCAGTATCACACCTAGGGAATATGATATTCTTACAGTACTTGAGGTCTTCCAGCCATTTAATTTTATTTCCAGCCATTTAATTTTTATTGAATACTTGAGGTCTTCCAGCCAATTAATTTTAATTTTTTAAAACATTTTAATTGTTTTCCATGTTATATGAGCATTACTGCTTTCTTTATCCAAGTCCTTTCTCAAACTCAAGGGAAGAAAAAAAGCCTCTCTGCCACTAGGGGTGTCTTAATTCAGATTCACAATTTTTAATGACGTTTCAGTATTTTAATGAGAAAATGATACTTCTACTTTTTTATTATATAAGCTTTAAACATAGTAAAGCATTTGAGACTGAAACACTGGAATTGTCTTCTGCCACAGACTTTGGGGTTTTTTGCCCTTAAAAAACGCTGTAGAAATTTTATAATACCAGCACTGACGTACAATTGTTGAATTCAGTTGTCGCCATTGTATAGTCAGGTAAAAAGCAGAGATGAGTCTCTAAAGCTCACCCCAAAAATTAATCATTTCAAAACCCCTCAGGATCTGCTTTCATTCCTGTATGGTTGAGAAAATGGGTCAGAGCACTGTGAGTGCTGATCCTGTATCAGATGGAAAACAGCTTTCAGGTGGGGATGGGCTGGAGGATCTTAACTAACAGAGATTAACAGCCAGGGAAACATTCCTAATGTGGAACTGCAAACTCTCAATTAAAGTATTTAGGCTGTCTTTGGAAATAATGATTTGATTGTCTTCAATCCCTGAGGCAGCCAAGAACTGTGAATCACTGAAGTGTTTTAATGGCATTGTAAGTCCCACTTGCTTCCTGAAGTTTGGGTTCCTTGTTCTACCTAGCTGTGGTTCAGAAAATGCCCTTCTAGGGTACCTTGCTCTTGTTTCATATGTAATTCTCTTTATTCCGTAGTGTTTACTGTTACGTGTTAACTGCTGGAGCAGGAGCTGGAGCTGTTGTTTATTTTCAGCCAAAATAGCACTCAGATAGCTTGTTAGCCATGTTGTCCAAGTCCCTCAAGGGAGAGCAAGGAGACTTCTTTGTCATGTTGCTTTGCTTTTGCAAGTCCAAAGTCATAAAGGGCAGCTTTGAAAGCAGTGCTACATGAAATGAGTTGTCCAGTTGTATTGCCATGACTTTTTCTTGGCTATTTTCTATCCTTCCATACTTTGCCCAGTGTGACAGTACGAAGCACACACAGTGTGGTGTCCTACCATCTGACTGTGTGTTGATGGTATATAGTATTTTTCATTTCCCGCTTTTTAAAAAATAAATTAAAAAAAAAGGTGGTCAGTTAAGGGGTAGCTATATGTTATTAAGTGACCTAAGTTTGAGGTTGCGTTCAGGTTAAGTAGTTGCTTGCTCTGATCATATCCACCTGTCAGAAATACTGCATTTGTGAAGGGGTAGCAAAGGTGCCATGTGGCTTTGCAGTGGGAGCCACATCACATAATTACAGACCCTGTCCTGCATTCGGATGATGGTTTTGACTTTGGATGAGCTTTCTCGTCTCAATTTGTCTACTGAATGATAATGCACATCTTGCAGAAGTGTGTGCCTAATATGAATCATGTGAATTAATGTGAATGCGAAGTATAGTGAGGCAGTATGAAAACAAAGATGAGATGTTATGCTTTTAAAACCCCGAGCTAGTTCTCTGAACCAGCACTGAAAGAGGATTCAAAATATTTTGACCTCAGCTGGGTGGAGTTGTCTGCAAATACATTTTGTAGATCTGTGTGTAGCCACAACCTTCAAATCAGAGATTTCTGACCAGTATTCTCGCAGAGACTGATCTAGGTGTGCTCTTCACTCCTCCATCCGTGTAGCTCTTGCTGACAGACAACCTGTGGCTTCAAAGTTGTGGTCAGGTTCTCCATCTCAGTGGGTGTTGCTTAAGCTTCACAACGTGGCTGCCAACTGGCCCGAATGGGCTTGCTCACAGGCAGTCCGAACACTCTGCTGAGTGGTAAACAGCACACGTGAAGACTGCTTAGCCTGCAAGATAGAAAACATTCTCTATCTGTTACATATCCCCTACTGTGTCAGATATTCTTGATAATGTCTTCATTTTAAATAAATGACAATTAAAACAGGCCTTTCTTTGAATTAGTTCAGGGCCCATAGAATTTCCATGTCAGCGGTTGACCTCCAGATGTGTGCATGAAACACCTCAATCTTTTCAGGAGTCCTGGCTGGTAGCCTTATGAAGGACTGCTTGGAATGCATGGGACCAGGGCTCACCTGAGGTCCTCACTTGGTCTTGTGCATTTGAGCCTAAGGTTTTGCACTGCCTTTTGCTGCTAATGAAATAATCTTCCTTACTTGGAATAGCCTTGACTGTGAGAGTAGCAGAGCTACTGGTTCTTGTATTGGCTTGTGTTTATGGCATAAAGCATGAAGTCAAGCATGGAGGTTGTATTGTGTCACAGCAGCAGCAGACTATCTTTTTTCTTCATACCGTTCGCTCATCAATTTTACTTAGTCTTTAGTAATGAGGACGGAGATGATGAGGATGATGTTTGTAAACAAAAGCCTCTGATAGCAGTGCCCTGAGCATGCGAAGCATCTGTGTTCATGTGTGCACAGCAACTTTCCGAGTGCTGCCCTTGCGAATCTGGCTTTTAGAACAGGGTACATTGTGTCTGCTTGGAGTGCTCTCCTCTCCTGGGCTCTGCTAATACGGGTTGGCTTTGTCAAGCCATCAGCTCCATGGTTTTGATGCAGCTTCCAGGAAAGAGTAGTCCTGTTTTATTTGTATTGTCTTTAGTATGGGAGCAACCAGAGATTCTGATTAGGATTACTTGTGCTGGAAGTGTGCACAAACAGAGCCATGTAAGGACTCTACCTGAATAGCATATACTGTAAGAGAAATGGTGCAAAAGAGGGAGAAATAACTCAGTGCCAGTAACCTTATGGTTCTGTTTCTTTTGGTGTTATGTCAGAGAATAAGTAGCATTGTAAGCCAGGAGCCTGTGAGCTGGATCTTCTCATTCTAGATGATTCGGCATGGCCCAGTTCTGGTGCCCCAAACCTCTTTGAATCAGATTTAAAGGATGAGAGGGAGTATCCTCAGGCCACTACTAGTCCTCTGCTCAGGCGATCTGAGTCTCAGAGTCTTTAAGAAAAGCTTAAAAAAAAAAGGGGGGGCGAGGGGAGGGGTAGGGGTGCATATCTTTGGAAGCTTACAATCAGTGCGCACACGATGTGCTGTGAAGCTAGTGAAAGAAGTTAGATGCCAGTGGGCTTTTCCAGACTATGACAGAGTTGTTTGCTTGTTCTGTGCTCAGCAAAGAATGCAATAAAGTGTAACTTAAGATTCTTCCCAGACTTTGGTGACGTAGGCCTGAGTGATTGTTTGCTGGACGCTTATAAGGCAATCGCGCAGTGCCCTTTCTTATTCTTTTAACAATGTGGCCTATTTAGGTGGGATACTCAGCTGCTCTCATCGAAAGCTGGACACTGGGAATCTCTCTCCACATCTGTTAAATTCTAGAAAATTCTGTGTTCCTTTGCTGAACTAAACCCTATTTTAATTATGCCAACAGGGAGGTGCATCTCTCATTTTCACCCAAAAAAAGGAACAGATTTGGAGCCAGTATTTGACAGGATTGAAACCACCCTTGACATTTAATTT